TTGCCTGCTAACCAGACGGCTGGTGGTTCAAACCCACCAGCCACTCCTCGGAAGGAAGGTTGGGCAATCCTACTTCCGTAGTGATACTGCCTCGGAAACTCAAGGAGGGGTCGCTATGAGTCGGGGCCGACTCGACGGCACATAACAACAACAACAACAACCTTCAAAGTGACGTCTTTGCTCTATAACACTTTAAAGTGGTTTTTGAAGCAGACCTTCCCACTGCAATACAATTGATTTCTTGACTGCTGTTTCCATGGCTGTTGACTGTGAATCTAAGTAAAACGAAATATTCTGACAACTTCAATCTTTTCTCCATTTACCGTGATGGTGCCAATTGGTCCAGTTGTGAGGATTTTCATTTTCTTTATGTCAAGGTGTAATCCATACTGCAGACTGTAGTCTTTAATCTTCATCAGTAAGTTCTTGAAGTCATATTCACTTTCAGCAAGCAAGGTTGTTATCATCTGCATATCGCAAGTTGTTAATGAGTTTTCCTCTAATCTTTGTGCCTTGTTCTTCTTCATATAGTCCAGCTTCTAAGATCATTTGCTCAGGATACAGACTGAATAAGTATGGTGAAAGGATACAGCCCTGATGCATACCCTCCTTGATTTTAAACCATGCAGTAATCCCTTGTTCTATTTGAACAACTGCCTCTCGGTCTATGTATATATTCCTCATGAATAACAATTAAGTGTTCTGGAATTCTCATTCTTCGTAATGTTATCCATAATTTTTATGATCCACACAGTGAAATGCCTTTGCATAGCCAATAAAAAACTAAAACCAAACCCACTGCCATCAAGCTGATTCCGACTCATGGCGACCCCCACTTCCGAGGTGTTATAATCTTTATGGAAGTAGATTGCCCGGTCTTTCTTCCATAGAGTGACTGGTGGGTTTGAACCACCAGCCTTCTGGTTAGCAGTCAGATGCCTTAGGCACTGTGCCACCAGAGCTCCTTTGCCTATTCAATAAAACACAAATAAACATCTTTCTGGTATTCTTTACTTTTAGGTAAAATCCATCTGACAGCAGCAGTGATATCCCTCATTCCATGTTCTCTTCTGAATCCAGCTTGCATTTTCCATTGCTTACTAGATTTCCTGATGTGGAGGGCACATTTATCCTCAGTTAGAGCACAGCTTTAGCTTTGAGTGGTTGATTATAGCTCTGATGTGTTCACTGATACATTTTGTACTGTTGTGAAACTTAATTTTCTTTTCACTTAACAATATAGCTGAGATTGTTCCATTTTAACAGACATCTATTTACTCCTTTGTAAGTGGCTGGAAGTTATTCTATATCATATATTCTGTATTCTGTATCATGGCTATAGCATAGGATATCAAAGGATAGTAAAGAATACAGTATGACAGTAAGGTTCCCTTACCGGAAAAAAAGAGGGTGATACTTCCCTCTTTGTTTTTTAATTTATTCTCTTATAAATAAAGCTAAAAGAAATGGCCTTAAACACTTGAGCATAAGTGATTATTTCCAAGGGTCTTAGAAGTTAAATTTTTGTATCAAATGCCATGTGTATTTTTAACTTTGCTAAAAGCTACAAACTGCCTTCCAGAAAGGCTATACTGATGAAAGCTCAGTTCTTGACTCACTTGTCAACTATGACTACTCTTCATCTTATAATTTAATTACTTTTATGATAACAAAAATATAGAAACGTTATAAAAATTAATGAGATTGGAAAATAATTAGTGTTAAGGGTAAAAAAAAAAAAGAGA